CACAACGTGAACAAGTGATAATCAAAGCTCACCTGCACTATGTTAGACAAATATAGAATGAGAAACACAACACCAGCCTCTTAAAATTGTTGACTTCATACCATCAAGAGATATTCTTCACATCTTGTTCATGCTCCTGGGAAAAGCTGCCGCTTTTATATTAATAATTCTTCCCAGCATTACTCAGTCACTGCACATTAGAACCAGCAGCTGGAGAGTTCTGACTGATAATGAAACCTGTAACAAGCCATCTTCAGCCATCTTTTCCAAACAATAAGGGAATTAAAATTTCAATTTAAATGCAGAGGTTTGAAACACGCTTCAGTGGCAAAATTACTTCAATTAATGTGAGAGGAATACAAAGAACAGACTGCAGAAATGCATTGCAGCAACCAGAAATTATGCTATTAGCATGCTTGCATTCACCTAACACAGCAACTGCAAAGGTCTAATTTAGACTGTACATATCACAAAGCTACAGGCAACAACATTAATCGGTGCTCCAATTTCAATGTGAGGGATACAAGCTCCTTGTCAGATCACTCTGTGCTTTTCGTAAGCCAGGAGCATCTGTTTACCTTGAGGAACAATACTGAAGACAAAGAGATCCATAAACATTCTGCATTTCTGACAGGTTAGTCATTATTTTACATAATATTCTTATCATAAAAAAGGAGAAAGGAATTATCCTGCAGCCAGAGAGCAATTACAACATCACAGTCTTGCAGAGGCATCATTAAGATGGCAAAAGCCAATGAGCCCACAGCCATTTTTGTACATAAAAAGGCCCCGAATGCAGGTTGGTTACTATTTCTCTGTTTCAGGTGAAATTTGTCTTCAAATGAAAATTTGAAGAGTAAATGAGCAGCTGAAAGCATTTAATTTTCACTCAGGTTTTCACTGCATTCCTGATTTAACAAAAATCTAAACAGTAGCTTCTTATATCATTATCATTTGACTTCTTTAAAACAGATACTCCATCATGGGGCAAAAGTAATGTGATATACTACAGAAGTTTGTACTTCTAATACTGTCTGTATCGTATGGGCTTGGCAAGCTTACCTACACATGCACACCACATTTACACACATGCATGTATGCATACATAGATACACCAAACTGCACACAATGTATTGCTAACTGTTAATGGTTTTTCACCCAGAGGGTGGTGACACACTGGAACAGGTTGCCCAAGGAGGCTGTGGATGCCCCTGGATCCCTAGAGGCATTCAAGGCCAGGCTGGACGTGGCTCTGGGCAGCCTGGTCTGGTGGTTGGTAACCCTGCACACAGCAGGGGGTTGGAACTGGATGATCACTGTGGTCCTTTTCAACCCAGGCTATTCTATGATTCTATGAATACAACTCAAGTATGTATTCCAAAACATTTCTAAAACTTATGAGCATTACAAGTCATGTCATTTATCTTTTTACACTTCTTATCTTTCGTTTCTGATAGAAAATGATTTTTTTTTTTTCTGCAATTTCCCACTGAAAAGAATTTTTCAACAAAAAGAAACCCACAAGCAAACTAGCTCTAGTCTATCAATAAAAGAAATTATCAACACTGGTTGACATTTCTACCAATAACAATATTAACACCAAATAGAAATGGATACATTACCCAACCCAGATGACTTACAGACTGGTAGGAAATATATAAGACAATAGTTTATATTTGAAAGAAAGTGAGAATCTAAGGAAAAGAAGTTTGAGAGTGTCCCTGGAAGATGGTTTTGAAAAAGAGAAAAGGGAAATGGGATGAGTTTCAACAAGGCCAAATGCCGGGTCCTGCACTTCGGCCACAACAACCCCAGGCGACGCTACAGGCTTGGGGCGGTGTGGCTGGAGGACTGCGTAGAGGAAATGGACCTGGGGGTATTGATTGATGCTCGGCTGAACATGAGCCGACAGTGTGCCCAGGTGGCCAAGAAGGCCAATGGCATCCTGGCTTGCATCAGAAACAGTGTTGCAAGCAGGAGCAGAGAGGTGATTGTTCCCCTATATTCAGCACTGGTGAGGCTGCACCTCGAGTACTGTGTCCAGTTTTGGGCCCCTCACTGCAAGAAAGATATTGAGGCCCTGGAACGTGTTCAAAGGAGGGCAACAAAGCTGGTGAGGGGTCTGGAACACAAGCCATATGAGGAGAGGCTGAAGGAGCTGGGAATGTTCAGCCTGGAGAAGAGGAGGCTCAGGGGAGACCTTATTGCTCTCTATAACTTCCTGAAGGGAGGTTGTAGTGAGCTGGGGGTCGGCCTCTTCTCTCGTGTCATTAGTGATAGGACCAGAGGGAATGGTTTCAAGCTACGGCAGGGGAGATTCAGGCTGGACATGAGGAAGTATTACTTTTCAGAAAGGGTGGTCAGGCACTGGAATGGATGCCCAGGGAGGTGGTGGAATCACCGAGCCTGGGGGTGTTCAAGGAAAGGCTGGATGTTGTGTTGAGGGACATGGTTTAGTGGGAGCTACTGGGAATAGGTGAACGGTTGGACTGGGTGATCTTTAAGGTCTTTTCCAACCTTAGTGATTCTATGATTATATGAAAATTGTGACCAGGTTACAGAAAGATGACTGCACCAGATGCGGCATGAAAACAGAGCACGGGCAACAGAAAAGACCAGGAAGGTGACAATATCAACAAAAATCAAGATACATTTACACAAGCCATCAGAGTAAATGAGGAGACTGCCTAATACAGTTTAGAGGTACAGAAAAAGTCATATTTAAGGTAAAGTAAGGGAAAACAGAAAATAAAGTAACAGGCTTTAGGAGTACAGGATGACAATGCTGAGATTTTCAGCTCTTCATCCTGACGATGAATGAATGGCTTATTAAAAAAAAAGTGAAATGAGGCCCTGGGCAGCCTGGTACAGTATTAAATGTGGAGACTGGTGGCCGGGGGGGTTGGAGATTCATGATCCTTGAGGACCCTTCCAATCCTGGCCATTCTGTGAATCTGTGAAGAGGCACAGCTAAGACTGAAGTTGCGAGAAATGCAAATGACAGTGAAGTTAATAAAGGAAACAAAAGAGAAAGCAATGAAAAGTCTTTAAAGCATTACTGGCTAAAAAAAAATGTGAATATTTTTGCCTTCGCTTCTGAATTACAGAATTGTTGAGGCTGCAAGGACCTCTAGAGATCTTTGAATCTAACTCCCCTGCTGATGCAAGGCCAGCTGCAGCAGGCTGCCCAGGACCATGCCCAGTTTGGTTCTGAAAATTATCAACAGACACTCCATAATCTCTCTGGGCAACCCATCACACTGTTCAGCCATCCTTGCAGTGAAGCGTTCTCTTACATTCAGATAGTAGTTCCTGTATTTCAGTCTGTCCCCAGTGCCTCCTGTCCCGGCTTTGGGTACCGCTGAGAAAAGCTTGGCTGTTTTCTCTGCAGCCTCCTATCAGATCAGATCTCCACATTTCTTTTCCCAAAGCGAAGCAGTCCCAGTGCTCTCAGCTCCTCCTAATAGGAGAGATGCTCCTAAAACCATCCTTCTGGCCCTTTCACCAGCCTTGCTTCATAAAGTCCTTTCCTCCTGTACTGAGGATCTCAGAACTGGACACGTGTCAGGAATAGATATAATCTCTCTCAAACGTTTTGGTTACTGTAGAAGATAGTTTCAAGAAATAAAGGACTGGAGTCTGGTTAGGAAATCTGCTTGTTAAGCTTACAAATGTGTCATGGTTCTATGTTCTTTGTTTTTTTGGGGGGTTTCAGTATTCCACATCAAAACATCATGTAGTGTACAGGGTATTAAAGTGTTAATGCCCCAATTCCAAGTACCTATCCCTGTACATTACAGCAGTCACGGGATCTGGCCCTTCCGGGTGGGGGGGGCGCTTTCTTGCTGCCTTGCAGTGGGTGCTGGAGGTGCTTTCCTAGCCGTTCCAAGCTGTTCAGGTTTGAATCGGTCCTGGGAACTCTCTCGCTCATCTTGTCTAATTTATTCATCTGAATTTCAATTAAATTGTATCTATTGTGTTATCTTGTATTCCGATATTATAGTAAAATAAGTTTTCCTCCATAGATTGTTGCCGCTGTTCTTTGCCTCTCTTCCTTCCTTCCCATTTTTGTGAGACTGGGGTGGGGGGGGAGGGCAGAGGCCTGTCGCCCCTGTCACGGACATAGATTGATCTGGTCAACTCCATGACAAAATGAAAGAGACATTTAAACAAGTTCAGGAAAATTGTCTCCACCACAGGACTGGAAATGGAAGGTATGCCTGTAAAAGTGGTGGAAACATAAAACATAAAAATACTTGAAGGGAGGGAGGAAAGAAATAAAATAAGCTGCAGGTAAAGAACGAGGATCAAGAGTCCTGGTAAAAGACATAGAGGAAGACAAAACAAGTAATCACACCTGAATAGTGAAAGATGGTTTCCTGAGTAATGACTGATGTTGTGAGTACATTCTGGGAGATGAACTTGGAAAGAAATTGCATAATTATTTCAACACTACTTTTGTTGTGGAAGAACTTATAAAGAATGCTGACAGCACAGGCACCTGGGAAATTCATTTAAACAATATTTAAAAGATAGGCAAGCAGGAAGAGACATGTTAGCACACAGAACAGTTCAGGAGAAGACCTAAGAACATTTGGAGAGATACGTGAGAATGCTGAATGAAAAAGAAAAATTGCATAGAGAAATATAAAGTTCCTAAAGCAGCAGGAAATTCTGTGTGCAGATCAAATGGGTAAAGAAACAACTGGTTTCAGGATCAGGACAAGCAAGCAGGTAAAAACAGCTCTGAAAGTACAAAATAAAAACAAGAGATAACCAAACAAGATCAGAGACTGTGACCCAAAGTCCAGCCAGAAAAGATCAAAACAAAAAAACAAACAGAAACTTCAGTTAAAGAAAGCAGCAACTGACAAAACAAGTAGGAAAACAAAAAGCAAATAACATAAAAACACAAATGGCAGATCTGCCTGCAGATGATCAGACAGCTGACCAGGATATTTACACTGAGTATCCGCCCAGGACAAGGTATGACATCTTACCAGCATGTCTGTTGCATTGAGGTAGTGCTTGCTGGCCATGCACTGCTCCAGCTTCTGTGGCACTTGTTTGATGTTCTCTATCTCATCCAGCAAATTCAGGACATGTTTGTGTTCAATTCCTTCAATCCACAACTTGCGCAGCTCATCCCTCTTGCAATGCAGCAGCATCTTGCATGACAACAGGTTCTCCTTCACCTACAAGGAATGTGTCAAAAGACTAATTAAATCTGTCCCTGTAACTTGCACTTCTAACACAAATCAGCCCTTTCCCACGCCTACTTCATTAGGAATTCCAAAAATATCATGAGACAATAAGAATTTTCTTTAAAATTGCTGGTTATTCCTCTAGCTAAAAGAAACTGGAATTGTTTTCAAAGTGAAATGCTTTTAGTATAAGTTTTGTACTATTAGTGAGAAGTTAACTGAAGTATGATAACACAAATAAATGCAGGATCCTATTAACCGTGACCAAGGACTTATTTGCAGTTCTGCAAAAATCATTTCAGTATTTTGGCATACAACAACAATCTAATTTGCAGTGAAAGCAAATCAACCACTACTAATTTTTCTGCTGTAAACATTTTCCATCTGTCTACTGAATCTTCTGGCACATCCCCTCCCTTCCTTCAAGTTGCATGTCAATTTCTTGAAGCCTAATTGTCTGATGGTACAATCACTTCCCCAATACAGCAATATTGGGTTTGTTTCTACGAGATCTGGTTTCAATGAAACAAATAGCTGTTGGGATACAACGCAACTCAGCATTTCTACTACTTACCAAGGCTATTTTATGACCTATTTACCATTTGCCATTCTCAGTTTGAGCCTCATACCATCGTATGTCAGACGCTTGTTGAACTGGCAAAGCCTCTTCTTATTCCATCCCACTCTTAACAAGAAGCAGCTTTTCTTATCCATACTCCTCAGTCATATCCATAGCCTATACTCCCTGCTTTAAGGTTCTTCTAGTATCCTCTAATAAGGTCAGTACAACCTCTTTTCTTACATAATATAAATCAGTCACATATTAAAACATGGAAGCAATTAACAACACAGCTTCACACATTGCTTTCACACTACTCTCGTTTTCGAGATAAGTTTTGAACAGTCAGGCTTCAGTCTTCTCTCAGGAACTCTCACTGAATTACACATGAAGAGAGACACTGACAAGTAGGCCCTATTTTTTAAACAGCAAGACTTCAAAGTACTCCAGAAATCCCACTTCGATGCACCTTGTCCACATAAAGGCAGTTAGCCTTTAGAAGATGCCAAACGCACAGACAGAGCAAAATACAGACATTTGGTAATTAGATATATAGGGCAGCCTCTAAGCAGCCAGAAGAGACTGACTTCAACACAATAACATGATTCTTTTCAGAAAGACATCGCAAAGTTTAGTGCTGAAAAACCTACAGACCAACAGAAAAGCTAATGTAAGTGTTATAACTTGCCACAAAAGCAAAGGGAAACTAAAACGCACAGAGATTTCATTTTGGACATAATCCCTGTTCAATACCTTAATTAAAAATGTTTCACTGACCTAGCATACCATCAGCAGTGGATTGCTGTTACACAGAGCAAAACTGGGTCAAGTACAATTGTGGGGTTAGAAGGAATCTCACAAGACATTCCTACATCTGTCCTTGCATGAAAGATGATGAACTATATCTACATTTGGGAGCACAGACAGGAATGAACAGCAAGTCTTTAAGAACCAACCTTCTTGTAGCAGGTCTAAGTGCTTCTCCTTTGTAACTCAGTTTTACAGGTAACACCTGTAAAGCTACATCCCAAACCAAGCCAAAAGCAAGCTGTTCCCAATAGGTATTCATGCAAGAACTAACTACAGAAGGCAGATACAACAGAGGGATCTGGACTACCCATCATTTCCACAGTTCCTAACATAAGTAAATGCCTGTGCAATCAAAATCAAAAGTCTGATAGTGTAATACAGACTGATGACAAATCAGATCTGGGGCTTCCCATGAGCTCAGGACAAAGCCACTGCAATATGTGTTGCCCAAAACTAAGAAAACTTAAATATCAAAAAGTCCTCCACCTTCACAGTCTTTCTTCCAGGCAGGACCAAAAGGTCTCCCCCCCTGTATGTTTGTTTTGACCTCTGCAAAGCTTAGTATACTGTGTGAAAACATGCCACCTGTATAGTTTACTTCAAGTTTAGTGCAATTGATCTCTGCTTTCAAAGCGCTGAGCTTTGTACATAAATCCTGGTATGAAACTCTTACCTTCGGAAAGCATCAAGATGTCTCATTCTCTTTGAAAATGCTAAATGAAGTTTAAAAGGCAGAAGGGTCAGTACGTAGCACCAGAAGGGTCACAGCCTACTGTTCCTAAGGCAATGCTGTGAAAGGTTCTGAGACCTCCTCAGAGCCAGAAAAATAAATAAATAAATGAAACAATTCTGGTGCTTAGTTTGCAAAGTTCAGGTGAGACAAACCACATAGCAAATAGACAGGACAGGAGACCAAAGAATTTATCTATTGCTACAGTAATCAGAGCTGGAAGGAGAGAGCAGATGGAACAAGTCCACAACAAAGAGCGCCAGAGTTATTTATTCACACACTACTGAAGCGAGTGAGCACTCAAAACACAGAAATACACAGGGGCACAGAGTTCATGTACATTCACACAACAGAACTGAGTTTGGAAATAGCACCAAAATTCATATTCTCTGAGGAAAAAAAACAAGCTGATTCACCCAGACTACTCAGGAGGTTGTTGGAGGCCAACACACAAAGACATGAACAGATCAGATTGAAAGGTGTTAGCTTAGCAGCCCTTAAACTTCAAAAACCTGACAGCAACTTGCCCAGACAGTAAATGGAGGGCACTGCAAAGCTTTGCTCTTCTTACCCTCCTCTAATTTTTCTCTTTAATTACTTGTGTTCTCAAAAGACAACAGGAGATCCTATGGAAAATACACTGGCAGTAAGACATAGCCTGGGACCACTGCATTAAGACTGGATGCTCTGCACCCAGCCATACTACAGTTCCATCAGCAGCCAGCAATGCTTTCTCAATTCAATTTTTAGTTCACTTAAAGATGATGACAAGTAGCTGGGAAAAAAAGTGAGAAATGAGAGGTTAAAACGTGAGCATGTGTTCTACCACCAATAAGGGAACAGAACTCAGGAGAAGAAGTCGCATACATTTGTACTAAGTCTAGACACCCTGGGGGTGTTGGTTGATGCTCAGCTGAACGTGAGCCGACAGTGTGCCCAGGTGGCCAAGAGGGCCAATGGCATCCTGGCATGCATTAGAAATAGTGTGGCCAGCAGGAGCAGGGAGGTGATCATCCCCCTCTACTCAGCACTGGTGAGGCCACACCTCAAGTACTGTGTTCAGTTTTGGGCCCCTCACTACAAGAAAGACATTGAGGCCCTGGAACGTGTGCAGAGAAGGGCAACGAAACTGGTGAGGGGTCTGGAGCACAAGTCTTATGAGGAGCAGCTGAGGGAGCTGGGATTGTTCAGTCTGGAGAAGAGGAGGCTCACGGCAGACCTCATTGCACTCTACAACTTCCTGAAGAGAGGTTGTGGTGCAAAAGGGTCTGGCCTCTTCTCCCAGGCAAATAGTAGGACCCGAGGAAATGGCCAGAAGTTATACCAGAGGAGGTTTAGGTTGGATATTAGGAGAAACTTTTTCTCTCAGAGGGTGGTCAGGCACTGGAATGGCTGCCCAGGGAGGTGGTGGAGTCGCCATCCCTGGTAGTGTTCAAGAGGTGCCTGGATGAGGAGCTACGAGAGATGGTTTAGTAGCTTGTGGCACTGATAGGAATGGGAGGGCGGTTGGACTAGATGATCTTGCAGGTCGTTTCCAACCTTGTGATTCTGTGATAGAGGCTACCAAGGGGATGCAAGCTGAGCAACACACGTAAAGTCAGCCTTCACCTGTTTGATTTTGTTCCGGGAGTTGGTGATGCGCTCTGTGATGCTCTGGTAGGTGCGGATCGCAGTGGTGAGCTCAGTGTAGTGCTGGACAATGAGCTCATCCAAATCCCGGTCACATTTCTCATAAGCTTCTTCCAGGCGGCCCTTCTCATTCTCCCGGTCCTCAACATCATCACTGGTAGACAGAGTCCTAAGGATAAAAATTCAAATGGTTTTCAATTACTGATCAGGACAAGAAGCTTCTTCTTAAGATATTCACCATGTACCAGAAACCAGTCACTGCTTTCAGCTTAACATCACCAAGTTATTTTTTCTCCTGCTAAACGTCTGTGTGGTGATCCGCAAAGAGCAATGTACTTCAAGAAAGTAAAAAACAAAACGATTGTTTTATCCATTCCTGGACTTTCAGATGCTTGGGAACCTTTTTTTTTTTTTTTTTTTTTAATTAACAATATTACTGCATTTATGAAAAGGGAAATGGATGTCAGTTTCTGTATGTCCCAATTGTCATGACCATGGGCACGGTATAGCATCTAAAATATATTCCCATTTATAGCTTACAAAGTGTTATGAAGAATTCTATTTTAGTAGAGACAAAAATCCACCAAAAGCCATCCATGCCTTCCAACAGTCAGTGTGTTTTCAACCATGATATCACTACAGTGAAAAAGGGTAACAGACCCTTCTTTCTGCCAGACACACCTGTTTAGACGTTGAATAGCATCATCCAGCAAGAGTATTTTTATTTACTTAAATTGATGTTATCTAAGACTCCAACTAAGATGATGAAAATGTAATCAAAGCAGCAAGGAGGACAAAAGGACAAAATTTCACAGAATCATAGAATGGCCAGGGTTAAAAAGGACCACAATGATCAACCAGTTCCAACCCCCTGCTGTGTGCAGGGTCACCAACCACCAGACCAGGCTGCCTACAGCCACATCCAGCCTGGCCTTGAATGCCTGCAGGGATGGGGCATCCACAGCCTCCTTGGGCAACCTGTTCCAGTGTGTCACCACCCTCTGAGTGAAAAACTTCCTCCTAATATCTAACCTAAAGTTGGCATCACTCCAAAATCCCCAGATTTACAGAAGGATTAAGAAGTTTTGAACATCTACTTGCAGAAATCGAGATGCCTTCAAAAACAGACCCAGCAGAGCATGAACATAGAGGCCATTATCTCATAAAAATTACCCAAGTTCAGACTTCTACTGAGCACTGGCACCACTTTAAGATGGTACAGTATATAATGGAAAAGTAGATGAACAGAAAAGCAGTAGAACAGCCAGAGTATGCAATCCCTTAGGCATAGGAAGAAGTACACAGCCCAGGAGTGAGAATTTTTCATAGATTTTTTAAGCTATTTCAGTGGAGGAGGTGAAATAGGTTGAAGGAAACAAAAACAAAGAAAAAAAAAAAACAAAAAAAAACACCACAACCATTGCTGAACTGTTGCTCTCTCTACTAGAGTGCTTTTGTTTGGGATTTGTTGAAGCAATGAGGTTCAGGCAAACTCAAACCACCACCTCCTGCTGTCAGTAAGAAAATACCAACCTGCCTTCCAGTAACGGCCACTTGTTGTCTGCAGTTAAGTCAGGTACAAGGAAAGTACTGAGCAATTATGAAAAATAAAGCACTGAAGGAGAGAAACCTGTTTTCTTAAGGGGCATCTAAGATTATCTTTTGTGACAAACCAAGGACTTCCTACTTAACAGATTTTTCTGCATTCTTCACTAACATTAATAGCCAGAACTCAAGTGCAAAATCTTGCTTCTTTGTTTACTTTTATCTGGGACAAAACACTACAAACAAATGCTCCCTTTCTCTCTAAGTCAAAGGAAACACACCCAGAACTTCCAGTTCATTACTCGTGCTTCTCTACAAAGAAAAACAACAGGCTGTGCCACCCACTCAAGGGCTTCATCTTGAAAAGAAGAGGGAGGAAAAAAAACAAAAAACAAGCCATTTCACCAGAGATCACGATCCCAGAAAAAACAGCTAAGAAAACTCAAATGAACAAGCAGATCTGTACTACCAGATGGAACGTGGCACAACAGGAGGATGAGTACACTTGTCCAAGTCAACTACCAAGAAGGAAAGAAGAATTAAAGCCACAATGCCTCCTACAACGCCCTGAATGGCAGTGCACCTAAGTGGTGTATTTTATTTGACACAATTCTAACACCTTTACCCTTTCAGATGGCAGTGGCAGAAGGCCTGAATAGATACCATATGGAAATGAGGAACCAAGTCTTTCCCTTTGTTAAGGCTCAAACTATCAGTGTAGGTTCTTCACACCTTCCCTCTCCTCCCAAATACAGAGCTGCCATAGTTACAGGTGATGAGGGAGCACCTCTGCTTTTGTACAAGCAACACCTAGAAATGAGCCCTGCCCTCCCTACCCCCCCATTCACCCTCCTTATTCAGGAGGACTTAACCTTTTCCAATGCATAAGATTTACTTGTGGTATTTAGAGCACCATATTTCATAGTAGCTACAGAAATGGAAATGCTTTCCCGTGTTACTACACCAAGATTCCATTCTTAGTTATGCCTTACTGTTTTCTCAAAGCTATCTCAATTAGCTTCTACTGCATGCAAAGCATTTTAATATCATGCAAAAAGGACCTGAAAAGAAAGAAAGAACAGTGATAGAGTGGTTAGAAAACAAAACAGGAATTAAGAAAATTGGATTACAGCCTCTGCTCTACTGCTGATATCTAATGCAGAGCACCCCCCACTGCAGCTTTACACAGCTCTCTACTGCTACAGAATCCACTTGGAAATGGGAAACCCCTGCCTTGCAATGAGCTAAGAAGGAAGATCCGTATCTCCATGGCCATTTTTCTTCCCTACCTGGTGAACACACAGCTTTGGTTCATCAAATAATGGAGCTGCAACTACATGCACTGAGTACTACTGAAACACTGCAACACTGTTAGCAGAGGTCATGTAATCACTTCCAACAAATTCATGTAGGAAGATGTGCTAGAAAACAAAGATAAGCATACAGCTAAAGCAACAGAATACACAGTACCTGGGAGTTTGGGTTCAGACTGTAATAAATGAAAAGAAAGCAAGTAAAAGAATGTGTTCAGCTTTCAAAAAGCTCATCATTTAAACCACAACACAGCCAGCAGTAGTATGTAATCTTAGCACTGTGAAAACCATTAGTAATCCATCCAAAAAAAAAAAAAAAAAAAAAGGTAATGTGAACACTGTGGTCTCAATGCCTCAGTCCATTCATCCTGAGTTCAGGAACCTCAGTAGCACATATTGGAAAAGCAGCTGCCAAGGTCTTCTTCTACACTTCTAGTTCTCTGGAAGCACAAGCTTCACACACAGAAGTCATCCAGAATTCAGCAAGATGAGACCAAAGTAAAGGACTCGCTCTGCTGCCATGCAGAACTTTGCTCTGTCAACAGCTTGAGCAATGGCTGCAGTTCTGGTCTGTTTTCAGCTGGCCTTGAACACACAACTGAAACAGTGGAAGTGATGAAGCAGTTGTTCTCCCTGCTAAGGCAAAGGCTCTTCAGTTTGGAAAAGACTGAAAGGAGATACATATCTGATGGGTGCAGAACTCAGAAGTCATAGATTAGATTGGAATGGACCTTAAAGATCATCAAAGTGAGGCATATAATGGAAACAAATCACTAAGCAGTGTACTGCTAGCACTATGGCAGTACTTATTGAAACTCAGAGATGCCTGTTTCAGACTCACCTTGAGCACTGGGTGCAGGTTTGGATACTACAATTTAAGGACATAAAACCATCAGTGTCTCCAAAGGAGGGCTATGAAGATGGGGGAAGGCCTGGATGGGAAGGCACGTGGGGAGAAGTTAAGGTCCCTTGGTTTGCTCAGTGCAGAGAAGGCTGAGGGTGGACCTCATGGTGTCCTAACAACTCCCTAACCCAGCAACCACAGACACCACAGATATACGAGGCACCAGGCACCTCTAAGTGGCCAGATCTGAGTCTCCTAACATCGTGTATTGCCACTGTTTGAGGCCAACTACTGAGCTACATTAACCACTAATCTGTCTCAGTAGAGCATTTATTTCTTCTTATCCCTGGAAGATCATCACAATTTAGATCACCTAAAGCTGAGTGACATTTTGGAGGAGCTGGAGGTGAAGTTACTCCACTCCTGTGCAAGTATACACAAACATGAACTCACCACAGGCCAACACGGGACCTGCCCTCCTTACCAGGATATTTCAGCTCCCACATGTAAAGAAAAGACAGCAGTGATCCATTCTGACCAAGTTCCAGGTTAAACCAAGGTGCTATTTCATGTCAGGACAAGGATCCCATCCACACGAGTTTGCCTCAAATAACTGCAAATGATTTTCTTACAGATAAGCCAGAAGTTAAAATCACAACCCAAGATCCAAGAGGAGAAAAGCAATAGCAGAGACTCCTTTTTCATTTACTTTACCAAAAGACCATAAAGTTTCAGAAGTTTAAGGTTTTCATTTCAGCAACTGTCACTACAGATATCTGGATGGAAAGCTGGGGAAACAGAGCATGTGTGATCCATCCTATGATCACGTACTGAAGAACCATCAAAGAGCACTCAGAAAGGCGAACTCAACTTAAGAATACAGATTGCAATATAGTAAGAAGCTGAAATGAAGCTGTTTTGAGCCACATCAGAAATTACTCTGCTATAAAACTGAGAATGCCTCTTCTCAAGTTCTCAAAAATCCATATTACATTTTTTCCCCACAAAATAACTTACATTTTTGTGCACTCTGGTTCTAAGGTACAAATTTTTGCTACATATTTGAAAGAACGTTTTCAATTGCTCATAGCCAGCAGCAAGACCTTTCTTCTCTTCTTCTCCGGTTACAGTGCCAATATGCTGAGCCTTAATTTTACCTGCTGCAACCAAAACGAACCACTTTCTCTCTACTCAAGCAATTTGTTACCATTTATTCTTCTTCTTTAAAAAAATAAATAAATCCACAACATTAAATCCTTGAAGTGGCACCTGCAACTACAAAAGGAGCCCTGTCACTCTGAATCTCAAACATTACTCTGTACACCTGAATTTCCTAAGCCCCTCAGTACAGGAGCCATTTCTTGTTCTGCACAGCAAAGAGCAAAGCAAGGAATACTTAATATTCTTGAGATTATACATGTTCCTGCTAACACTGCAGAAAAGTAAGCCAAGGGCATCTTTACTTGT